GAGGAAAAAAAATTGACTATGTCCTTCTAGTGATGCAATACATTAATGCATGTCACAAAAAGAGAGAGGAGACCAATAAAACCATCAGTAATGCACCTGCAAAAACACACACACACACACACACACACACACACACACACACACACACACACACACACAAACACACAATATACTTATTATTGTTTTATGTTATTGTTATTGCTTTATTTGAACTGTTTTATGCCAAAATGTTGATTGTTAAATGTACAGTTTATTCTGATTTATTATTATTTTTATTGATTTGCATGAATAATGTTGTTATAATAATATTGTTGATATTTTATTTAATTATTATATATAAATACCATTTTTTACTACTGCTATTTACTGTGTTTACTGTGTTTTTGTACGTTACTTTTTATGTAAACTTTATAAATGCTTTGACAATTCATTTGTAGCATTTGTCATGCCAATAAAACAATTATTGAATTGAATTGATTTGTTTTTTAGCTGTTGGTTGATTGTAAGATAGTGTTTGGTGTAAGTGTGCAAAACTGGTGAAAGTGTTGGTTAAAATGAGAGATGAAAGAGTCAAGCCCACTCACCTGTGAGGCACACTTAGAATTGCATCATATTTTGAAGTTGTCATGTGGTTTGGTGTGGGGAGAGATGAGGGGGTCCTGGTTTTGTTCATAGTTGAGTTCAGGTGATTCCGGAAGAGATTGGTTTTTATCTGTCTAAGTGTTTCTGAAACAGCTCTGAAACTGAAAAGGCTTGCAGATTGAAATTTTACCAGTGGACTGAGGAGGCTCAAACCACAAACCAGCCACAGGGTTTTGTACACCTAAAAGCACTTTGATGCAAACAAAATTGAATTATTATTTACACAATGTAAATTTGTAAATAATCGCAATTTTGCTCAGGGAGTTCAAGCTGCCCTAGACCTTTAATATTACGATAAAAATTATGACAGTAAATCTATAAGATTTTTACCAGATCCTGACAGGAGTGTATCAAGTGTGTATATGTATGGTGTGTATACCTATAAAATGTATGATGTGCTTGTATATGTATAGAGTTTATCATGTGTATGTGTATATGTATATCCTATGTGTGTGAATGTATAGTGTATCGTGTGTGCATTTGGATAGAGTGTATCATGTGTGTTTATGTATGATGTGATGTGTATCATATGTGTATATATGTATGGAGTGTTTCATGTGTCCAAATGTATGGAGTGTATTTGTGTAGAGTCTATCATGTGTGTTTATGTATGGTGGGTATTGTGTGCTTATTTACCATTTGTGTATATGTATAGGGTGTATCATATGAGTGTATATGTATAGAGTGTATCGTGTGTGCATTTGGATATAGTGTATCGTGTGTGCTTGTGTATACTTATAGAATGTATCATGTGTGCATATGTATGGAGTGTATCACGTGTGCTTATGTATAGAGTGTATCATGTGTATATGTATAGGGTGTAACATATGTATGGAGTGTATCGTGTGTGCATATGTATGTAGTGTATATGTATAGAATGTATCGTGTATATGTATGGAGTGTATCATTTGTGTATATGTAGCAAATTGCCTTTCGTTGTGTGTGGGTTCATCAATTTCCAGTAGCTCAGTGGGTATGTGACTCACCTCTCACACCAAAGGCCTGTGTTCTATGCTGAACCCTGATAGGAGTGTATTAAGTGTATATATGTATATGTATAGGGTGTATAAAACGTATAGAGTGTATTATGTGTATTGTGTGTGGCGAAGCAGTGGCGCAGTAGGTAGTGCTGTCGCCTCACAGCAAGGAGGTCGCTGGGTGGCTGGTTCGAGTCTCGGCTCAGTTGGTGTTTCTGTGTGGAGTTTGCATGTTCTCCCTGCGTTCGCGTGGGTTTCCTCCGGGTGCTCCGGTTTCCCCCACAGCCCAAAGACATGCGGTACTGGGTAGGCTAAATTGTCCGAAGTGTATGAGTATGTGTGTGTAGATGTTTCCCAGAGATGGTTGTGACTGGAAGGGCATCCGCTGCGTAAAAACTTGCTGGATAAGTTGGCGGTTCATTCCGCTGTGGCGACCCCGGATTAATAAAGGGACTAAGCCGAAAATAAAACAAATGAATGAATAAATGGTATCATGAGTGTGTGTATATGTATAGAATGTATCTTGTATGGAATTTATCATGTGTGTGTATATGTTTAGAATGTATCATGTGTGTGGATATGTATGGAGTGTATCATGTGTATGGTGTGTATACGTATAGAATGTATCATGTATGCAAATGTATAAGGTCAGAACAGACAATAAATATAGCTAAAATAAAACTACACTGCATTCTGAAACTTTGCAAAAATTGTTAACCTTGCAGATTATCAATAGACAATGACACGTAATGATACAAAGTGGGGGACTTTCTTCCAATACATGTAAATATATAAGGTACAGTATTTGAATGTGTACGGATAGCTAAATCCAACCCAAGCTCATTCTGGAAACGTAGCCTGCGGACGTTTCTGGAGACCGCGATTTACGTGGCTGGAGGTACGTATGGCCGCGTTTGGTTTTTTTCGAGTGAACGCTGCGGGGCGATGTGTCGCCGCTCCGCACCTCCTCTTCGCGCTCGCCGGCCGACGGCTCGCCTCCGAGTGGAGGGCTTTCCCGACGCAATCAGTTTGTCCGTCTAGCTCACAGCGTTGCGTCGGCGGAGCGGAGGCCCGGAGGAGGTGGAGGAGGAGCCGGAGCCGGCCGCGGTGGACGACGACCGGGATCGAGTCCGGGGAACAGCGGGTTCCGGAAATCAGGTAAGACGAAAAACAAAATCCGGAAAATAAGGGCGAGAACGCGGCGGGATCCGAAAACGCGGTCGAAGACGAGGGCTTTTGCTTTTTTTTTTTTTTTTTTGATCCGGCGGCTTTTCGCGCGAGAACGGCGCGGGCGCGAACGCCTCGCGCTCCCGAGAGGTGCCTATGGCAAGCCGAAGGTATTACAAATACACTATTAATCAATCGCGTTTACAATTAAAACGCCGCATTAAACGGCGCTTATACCATTTCAGTGTTTTAGTGCCCGCCCGAGACGCGAAAAAGCGCGCACAGCGGCCTCTCGCGGATCCGCGAAAACAAAAAAACGCTCGAATACGTACCTCCCGGGACGTAAATCGCGGTCCGCAGAAACATCCGCGGGGCTACGTTTCCACAATGAGCCCGGGTTGGCTAAATCTCGACATAATATCCGACCCTGAGAGCTGTTTAGAACTCCATGAGACAAGACTACGAGAACTGTCATGCAATGAACCAATAAAAGACGGTGGCTCAGGGTTTAGCACTGTTGTGGGTTTCCTCTGGGTGCATCATAGGTGAATTTGTTAAGCTAAATTGGCTGTAGTGAATGTGTGTGAATGTGAGAATGTATGGCTGGAATAGCATTTGCTGCATAAAGAATATGCTGGATAAGTTGGCGGTTCATTCCACTGTGGCGACCCCGGATAAATAAAGGGACCAAGCCGAAGGAAAATTAATGAATTAATTATTTTCAATCTGAGAAGAAGATCAGCTAGGAAGCAGTTGTCAACTGTTTTAATCGTCCATCCTGAGCCCTCCTTTATGCTGTCTACTTCACCTTCTCCACCAGAGGAGGTCACTAACACTCCACACTGAAGGTGGATCTATAACTTTTCCCTTTCGTGTTTGGTGTCATTTTAAATGTCTCTGTGTGTTTGGTAAAGCGGTCTCAGTTTTACAGTAGTCTCTGATATCTGTTGATCTGGGTTTTGGCTTTAATGCTGGATGCTCCACTGTAGGGAAAATGGTCTTCACCATCAACTCATGAACAGATAAGGGTTTTTGTGAAGGTTTTGTTTTCTTGAATTTATGGTTGTTTATTCTGAGATGAGTGTTTAAGGTAAAGATGCAGAAATGTCTTTGGAGTCTTGTAGCCAGGAAACCCCATTGCTGTGAGTCTCTGAGCTCTGCATCAGGATTTATATTCTGCAACAAACTTTTACAATGCTTATATTTGTTTAATTTTGTAAATTTTCACGGAAAATCTTTTCCTGACAAATAAAATGTTATATCATTGACTGATTATGTAGGCTAAAGTTACCACAAACTATGACCAGAATTGAACATATAAGGCTCAGATGGATGGAGCATAGGGAATCTGTTGATTTCTGACAACACTAACTCAGTGTGCTATAACATAGTGGCTATGTTATTTATGTTATGTGCTTTAGTGGCTAAAATTGCTGGATGCTGGAAACAGGGCAAGAATCAATTCTAGAGCTAGACATGAAAGGCAAAACACACCAGAAAGTGAAGTAAAATCATAACTAAGACTGAGAAAAGAGGAAAAAAAAACCAGAAAAAACAAAGAAGGTCAGCTGCAATAACTAAAAAAAATACAAAAAACACAAGGACTTAAATAAAAGCCCTGTCTGAAAAAGTCTTATATTTGCTTTGTTAAATCTCATTGCTAAAAATTTTGATTTTTAAGAATAATTTATTGGACTTATTTCAGACAGAATCCTCCTACATGTTTAAACATAAGTAGGATCCGTATAAATTCAGCACACTGGACAGCTACCACTGAACAAGAGACATGTTATTTCTTCAACCCAGCCTTATTCTGATTACGTACACCAATATACATTTCTAGATAGCGCCAAATATGTCCCAGGAGCTATTTTTTTTTGCAGTTTTTGCGAATCCACCAGAGGCCGCTGTGTATGCATTTTGAGATCTCAAATTTCTCTTGCGAGTGCCATTCACACCTGCTCTTTTCACGTAAATCCACCAAAGGCCGTTGTCGATTGAGTGATTGACTGACTGACCGCCTGACCGCCTGACCAACCAATCCACATGGTGTTAAGCGGTCAGTTGGTGTTTTAGTATGCCCCAAATTTTAGTATGTAAAATGTTTCAGCATACCAAAAAGGTTTTAGTATGGTATGTGTTTATGCAAGTGAGACAAGTGTGGTGCTAATCGACAAGAGAAGGCACCAATAATGGTCCATACACCATACTAATCAAGCAATACAACTGTTTATTGCTGGTACACACAGCTGATATCAATTATCACAATAATATTCAATAATCATCAATCATACTCATGAACATCATTAATCAAAATACAACAAAATTGCATAAAAGGCTTATAATGCGAAATAAAGATGAGATTACATGAATAAAAGACAGATAATGAAAACTTCAAGCAATTTGATACAAGTATATACAACCTCAGAGACGTGCCATCATTTTCCTCTTCAAAGACTGGGGAGCCCGTTGCAGTCACATTGGAAAACCAACACGTATGTCCGAGAATGCCGGGCGATGCGCGCTTATCCCACGGCTGAGCTTCCAATGTTTCAGCAAGAAACCCTCATCTTTATAGTCAATATTTGGGTGCTAGCCAAAGGTTGGCCTCATAGGTAAGAGAGAAGTGTGAGTTGATCAGGCCCACCTCCTCTCTCAGCTAGTTGCACATTATTTCTGATTGTAAAGCACTAATTTGAGGTTTGTATTGTCAGCATGATTATCTAGAGTCAATATTCTACCTCCTGAAATTTGGAGAAAGTTAACCTTAAGGTCCGGAGACCCTTCTCTGGTTATTTGGTCATGCTTAAGTGTCAATATTTTACCTCCTGAAATTTGAAGAAAGGTGTGAAGTTAACCCTAAGGTCATGAGACCCTTCTCTGTTCATTTGGTTGTTTGTTGAGCGCAACAGAAGAAAAACAAAAAATATATAATTTGTTACACTCGGTCCCTCGCTCAACGAAGAACCAAACTTCGAACATACTTCAGGCACATCTTTCTAACGTAGCAGAAACATGTGTATTAAACCAATCCATTATAGGTTGGATACAACCAGTTAAGCAGTAGACTTAAAATCTCCCATTGCAATTGAGCTAAATGACTAAATGTAAATGTAAATGTAAATGTAAATCATATGCACTAGTTCCAGAAGTCAAACATTGATTGCAATGTCCTGTTTGCAGGAAACAGAGCATTCCCTTTTCAGTTTTATCACAACCAGACATATCATAACTTCGATTATCATAAGGATTTAAACAATCACCATTTAAATGCATGATCCAATAATATCCTTCAGTTATGATAGGAAGTGCATGGTAAAAAACATATTGTGACAGCTCTGTTTACATTGAATTGTTCCAACTTTCCATAGCACACAGTATCATTGCAAAAAGTACTGTGGGTACTTAACTTAGGCTAATATAAAACATAATATTTAAATAGTGTAACAGCTCCGGTTACATTGAATTGTTCCCAATTCCTATAACACACAGTATTGTTGAAAACAATACTGTGGGCACTTAACTTAAAACAATATCCCTTACTGATGTTCCATAATTCTCTCCAAGCAGTTGAATTTTTGCAAACAACATGCTAACTTTACATTGTTACATTTTGTCCAATTCATCCACAATGACCAATCACACCAACGTAAATCATTACATTATTTTTACACAAAACAAAATCTGCAAATCTAATTAAGATAGCTTGAACTGTTGTAGACATGCATGTTGACCACATGTATTCAACTTTTCCTTGACTCGAGAGGACTTTGACTTCTTAGCCCAGAGGGACAACTGCAGTTTTCACCAGGATCCACTAGTTTTGTTGGTAGCTGTTTTCCTGCCACCAACATTCGCACTGCTGGACACAATGGTATCGCATCACTATCAGAGGTTGATGATCAGACAGCCTCCTCAGACTCTGCCAAACGATGTTGTGTTCAAAGCAAAGTTTGCTCCTCTTGTTCTTCTCAGCTTGAGCAGATGTGTCTGCGATCATCCAGTGAAGCTTCTCCTTGTATGCAAAACGTAGATCTAGCTAGCCAACGGTAGATTGGACTACGTTTGTTCCTTTCTCCTCTGGTAGCCACCAGTAAGTCTGTTCTCCAGAGATTCCTGCACAGAAGAGAGAAACATATACTTTGCAAAAGTTATTATGACTATCTTTGAATCCTTGGTCCACCACGGTGTCTTTCTGCAGATTTGAAGTTACAGTGGTTAATGCATGCAAATTTAAGCCTGCTGAGTCTGGTATGTGCCTGATGGCCAGCCTTGCCTCTGACTCAGTTAGCCAAAATGTAACAGGTTGTGTCTGACAATCTTTCACTATTGCAATCTAAACCTCGAGTTGCACAAAAGGAGTCTGAAACTTGTTGAGTTGTCGATTATTGAATGCCATAAAAGCTTCTTCTAAACGGTCCCTCCACCTCGTCAGATCCCCACAAAACAAAACAAAAACATAAAGACAAAAACAACAACAAACAACTACACATACTCATAGATACTGTTTCATACACCTTCTGATCATTGCTGTTATCTCCAACTATTCCCAACTTGGTGCCATTCCCCCAAGTCACCTAACTCACGTAATTTGGCAACTGTGACCCCTATTGTCCAATCCTCTGATCGTAAAAGAACAGCCATAACAGGACCTTTATACTGTGCTTTAGCATTTTTTATGATAGCATTTCTCATTGATAATGTCAACAGAGTGTCATCTAGATCTCCTGCATGCCCTGATATTACAGCCACTCTCATGGCGAGCTCTCTTACTCTTGAAATGGCTTCATTCAAAGTGCACCACTGCCCCTCCTTAGAAGGCCAACTACCCTCATCTGGAAAGTGACGATACACTGCATTGGCAATGAGAGCTAACAGACTAGGGTTACCCCCATCAAGTGCTTCTGCTTCAGTTGTTATGCTGGCTCTAATGACCGGATCACTACACAGATCTAGAAAATGCATACTATCAACACCATCTACTTGAACTTGACCTGCTCCCTGATCATAAAGCCGCACTAACCATCGATCAAGGGGTTCTTCTGATTTTTGTCTCATTCGTTCCCTTATATCTGAGAGTTCCTGGTGAGTATAATCTTCCATTACATCCTGTCTATTATTACCCATTGGTCCCTGTGTTAATCTCCTTCTCTGAATTGGTTTTGCCTGAACACAAGGGGAAACTGGAACAGCATCATTGTAATCACCATCAGAATCCCAAATATTTCCATCCCAAGTGGATGGGTCCCAACTCTCAGCATTTGCAGTATAGCTACAAACGCCTGTACTTTACGTACATTTGGTCTTCTTTTCTTCCTAGTATTAACTTTGGCTATCTGAACAGCAGCCTTTTCTGCTACACCAGTTATCTGTTCTAAACGCTGGCGTAAAATTTCAGCTTGACCTTGCGCTAATAAGGCTCGCCCTATGGCATCAGCCACTTCTAACATAACTTTTTCCCTCTCTCTAACCTGTTGATCTGCACGCTCATGCTGCTTTCTGTAAGCAGTTAACACGATCCACAAGCAGCTCTGTAAGCCCTTCAATGGATCCATTTGCGAGACATTGACCTTTTTCAAGCAAGATTCTACTTGTTTTGGGTCTGCATCCCTCAGCACACCAGACCAACACTGAGGCAACCCTCCGCCCTTTCGGAGTTCTCTGGCCACTGACTCGTACAAAGTATCATCCCACTCGGGGAGTACATCAGGCTCGGGTCCCTTAACCTTCTTACAAAATATCTTATCAATATATCTTTCACAGCAAACCAATGAAACCTCCTCTGTCTCACACCAAAATCACTTTAAATGTCTCACAAATATCCTGTTCGTGACGCCAAAATGTTTTAGTATGCCCCAAATTTTAGTATGTAAAATGTTTCAGCATACCAAAAAGGTTTTAGTATGGTATGTGTTTATGCAAGTGAGACAAGTGTGGTGCTAATCGACAAGAGAAGGCACCAATAATGGTCCATACACCATACTAATCAAGCAATACAACTGTTTATTGCTGGTACACACAGCTGATATCAATTATCACAATAATATTCAATAATCATCAATCATACTCATGAACATCATTAATCGAAATACAACAAAATTGCATAAAAGGCTTATAATGCGAAATAAAGGTGAGATTACATGAATAAAAGACAGATAATGAAAACTTCAAGCAATTTGATACAAGTATATACAACCTCAGAGACGTGCCATCATTTTCCTCTTCAAAGACTGGGGAGCCCGTTGCAGTCACATTGGAAAACCAGCACGTGTGTCCGAGAATGCCGGGCGATGCGCGCTTATCCCACGGCTGAGCTTTCAATGTTTCAGCAAGAAACCCTCATCTTTATAGTCAATATTTGGGTGCTAGCCAAAGGTTGGCCTCATAGGTAAGAGAGAAGTGTGAGTTGATCAGGCCCACCTCCTCTCTCAGCTAGTTGCACATTATTTCTGATTGTAAAGCACTAATTTGAGGTTTGTATTGTCAGCATGATTATCTAGAGTCAATATTCTACCTCCTGAAATTTGGAGAAAGTTAACCTTAAGGTCCGGAGACCCTTCTCTGGTTATTTGGTCATGCTTAAGTGTCAATATTTTACCTCCTGAAATTTGGAGAAAGGTGTGAAGTTAACCCTAAGGTCATGAGACCCTTCTCTGTTCATTTGGTTGTTTGTTGAGCGCAACAGAAGAAAAACAAAAAATATCTCATTTGTTACAGTTGGTATTGTCAAAAAGGAACGGCGTCATACTGCCCCGTATAATGTTCGTCTTAAAGATGTAATGCAGGCATGCATTCCTACATAATTCGCGATCTCCAGAAATGTATATAGGGCTACATTTTTAGAATGAGCCTATGCTGTATTTCTTTTTTTTGGAGGTTTACCCTTTTTTAACGTCATAGGAGAATATTGTGGAGATTATTGACAGGAAAGCAGAAAAGGGAATGGATCAGCAGTGTCGTGTGTTACTTCCTATGTGTACTTAAAAAATTTTTAGCGCCACATGTACTTTAAAACCTTCCATAAACATTTTGCGATGTTCATTCAAATCATGTTCAGCTTTTTTCTGTGATTAAAATAATGTGCAAATGCACTGTCTGCTAAACACAGCCATCATTAAAAACATTTTATACATTTTCTTGGCTTAGTCCCATATTTATCAGTGGACTCCACAGCGGAATGAACTGTCAACTATTCCAGCATATGTTTTACGCTGCAGATGCCCTTCCAGCTGCAACCCATTAGCTGGAAAGACCCATACACTCTCACGTTTACACACATACACTACGGCCAGTTTAGCTTATCCAGTTCACCTATAGCGCATGTCTTCGGACTGTGGAGAGAAACCGGAGCACCCGGAGGAAACTCACGCAAACACAGGGAGAACATGCAAACTCCACACAAAAATTTCAGCTGGCCCAGCCATAACTTAAACCAGTGACCTTCGTGCTGTGAGGCAATAGTGCTAACCACTAAGCCACCGCGCCAGCTCCATTATAAACATAAATTCATTTATTTTCTTGTCGGCTTAGTCCCTTTATTAATCCGGGGTCGCCACAGTGGAATTAACCGCCAACTTATCCAGCAAGTTTTTACGCAGCGGATGCCCTTCCAGCCGCAACCCATCTCTGGGAGACATCCACACACACACTCATACACTACAAACAATTTAGCCTACCCAATTCACCAGTAACGCATGTGTTTGAACTGTGGGGGAAACCGGAGCACCTGGACGAAACCCACACGAACACAGGGAGAACATGCAAACTCCACACAGAAATGCCAGCTGGCCCAGCCAGGACTTAAGCCATAGACCTTTGTGCTGTGAGGCAATAGTGCTAACCACTAAGCCCATTATAAACATAGATTACACTCTATCATACTCTCATCTCACATGAGAGCTAAATATAGTCATATAATTCAAATACTTTTATCAATTAACATTATATTATTATGCATTTACTGCAGTTCTGTAATGTAATGAATATTAGGCCAATGCAACCTGCATTGATTCATAATCATTGTCTTTTTAAGTTGCCTTTTTTACCTGTTGACACATGCATTCATGTTTATAAGAGCTGTATATTTGTGATGATGAGATGATGAGAATCATATACTGTATTGCAAACATGCTACCAAAGCTAGTAAGTAACACTACCATTAAAGCAAGCTTCCTGTGCAAATATGTACACCCTAACCAACATATAAAACCAAACAAAGGCTAAAGGAAACATTTGTGCTTGTGACCACTGATAAACATAGAGCTGTGAGGTAAATGTGTAAAAAGGTGTTGACTGTCATTGGTTTAAGAGCTGTGGTTTCCTGTTTTGACCTGTGTACAAGATGCTGAACTGAGTCTATCAAAACCAAAAATGGACTCAAAATCAAGAATAAAAATAACTTTAATAGTTATCCATATTAGCATTCACATTGTTTACGTTGTTCAATAACATAAATACGTGAGTACTTTAGGATTTATTAGATGAAAGGATGGCTTTAATTTTGTTTCATTCTCATAAAACGGATGTAAGCTTATTTGTTGCCACGCATATTGTTCATACAAAAAATTGTACATTTTACCTCCACTGTGTATGTTTGATGATGATTTGGTGATGTTCATTTTTTGTAATCCAATCAGATGCCACATGACCTCTCAGCACAAAAAAGTCAATGCAGAACCAGAGATTGGTTAATGCTATTCTTCCTCTGTATACACACGATAACCCAATATAAAGCCACCCACTCATGACGCATGGGCATTTAGGTAAAACTTTCCATTGATGTGAGACAATCAGATAAGAGCTGTTTGTGTGCATTAAGACCCTCACCAGTGTCAGCTACTCACAACCACTCACTGACATGGAGACGCCACGACTTACTCTCATCCTTATGTGTAAGAAAATAAACCTATTTACAAATGCTTTTTACTAAATTGAAATAAGTATCAGTTGTAAATATTAATAATATACTTTTGTATTGTAGCACAAATATCATTAAGTATTTTATTGTTACTTTACACTTTCTTATTTTACAGATGTTTTGTTGAGCAATCTAAGAAGAATCACTGGAGAAGAGGTGGAGATGAAAGTCAGACCAGGAGAAAACATCACTCTCTACTGTGATCTCTCTTTATCTGCTGGTTTCAGGATTGTATGGATAAGAAACTGCTCTCATGAAAACCAGCCCTCTCTCATAATAGATGTAAAAAATTGGACCACAGCTCTACCTAAACGTTTCCAGCCTCTCCAGAACCTGTACAGCAATTCTCAATATCTACATATTACTAACATCAGTGTCTCTGATCTGGGGCTGTACTACTGTGCAAAAACAGAGAATAAGGTAAATAAGGATAAAAAAGGCATCATCTCCTCATCTGAGGTTTACTATTATGGAAACCGAAGAACTCGTCTCTCTCTTGCTGGTAAGAAAACATTATTGCATTATTATTTATTTATACTATTGTATATCTTTAATCTTCTGATTAATATATATATAAATGATAAATACATCTGATAAATACATACTGTATTTTTGTTATTAATGTACACAATAAGACGTGAGCATTTCTGAATGCTTCAAATGCCATCATGAATTCGCATTACATATGTACAATAAAAAATGCAGGGTTCTACACAATTTAGTCATTTTGTCCCAACACAAATCCATTAAGTTAACTTTAAATATATTTTACAATAAAATAGTCAATACTTAAATTTTAAGTGTATCGAAATAAACTACAAAATACAACAGCAGTAATAACATGTATCAAAATAAAATACTGTATTGTTGTACTAAATACTTTTACAAAGGAGCATGACATCTTCTCCTCCAGTGTCAGAGTGTGTGTCCTGCTGGACGCTGCTGTTGAGTGTGTGTCCGGTGTGTGTTCTCCTCTCCTCACTCCTGTCCTCCATCTGTGTTTACTGCTTCTGTCGTCCTCAAAGTACAGGTAGAGCTCATCGACACATTTACATTCATTTTGAACAAATCTGTGAATCTGTAGAGCTTTTAAAAAGATTTGTTCTTTTAACTTTTAACATTTTGACTCTAATCGTAATTATTAGACTTTTCCACATGAGAAAATACAGTAATTTATAGTAAATACTGGAGTGTTTGACCCATTCGACAGTAAATTGTATTATACTGTACTGTATATTATAGTATTTAATAAACAGTTAATGAATGCTGCAGCAGAATATAGTATTAACTACTGAACTGATGAACTGAGACAAATACTGTAGTATACTTTGTTTTTTACCACAGTAAACTGTGGTGTATAGTTGTATTTAGTACAGTATTGGTTTGTTTACATTACTATAGTTGTTGCATTACCACAGAAACTATAGAATTACCACAACAGATTAATTCAAGTGCTTTACTATAGTATAGTTCAAAAACACTACAGTATTTACTATAAATTACTACAGTATATTAACCGGGTTCATTTTGTGTGTGTTTTAGGTTCTGACATGAGTGCTGAGACGCTTAAAGCAAATGTTTTGATGGTAACTATTTTATACTCTTTTATTATTGACCATATCAAAGATGAATTGTGGACTGATGTGGTTTTTCACTAGTTTATTTGATCCATTCTCTCCTTGTCAATCATTTCAGGCAGATTGTGTGGAGAAACATCAGTGTGAGGCGAGTAAGACTGGAAAGATCTGTGTCCACACTGAAGTCTCTTATAGACGACTGACATCTAAACATCCCTACACCAACATCTGACACATGAACTGCTCTTAGTCTACTTTCTGTCTTATTTCTGATAGTTTGAGTATTTACTTACAGTACATTATCTATTACAATCAACGGTCTTTAAAATTAATAGTATGACCCACTGACTCTTTATGATTTAACATTTCATTTTTTTTACAATAATAATGTAATCAAAGATTGTTTCTCAATTAGCGCAATATTGTTAAGATGACTCAAAGATTTGTAAAAACACAAGACTGTGCATGTTTTTATCTCAAAATAAATTTGGATGTAAATGTTTACTCATGAATAATCTATTTTTTTTATTTTTTTTTTAAAGTTACTGCAAATAAATCTAAAAAAAAGAGAAGAGGGTACAACGAACACTCAGTGGCTTCATCTAGTGACTAATAGTGGGGAAAATGAGGTCCAAACAGCATACCCATAATCAGGACCAGTTCTTAATAAAAGTTCAGAACATCTGACACGCCTTTAATGTAATTGAGAGGAAAGATCAATGTGTGCAGAAATGATTTCTCCTCTCAAACCACAGGCTTAATTATTGTTATGTACACAGTGCTTAAGGTATAAGATGAGACAATGGTTTGTTTTTTAGAGTTAAGTAATTTATTAAAACTCAAGTAGTGTTATTCTTTACATTATTGACTGGACTGTGTTCAGGGATGTATCAATGCTATTAAAATTAATCCAGTACATATGGCGATGACTACACTCTGTATTAGAGAGAGAAAAAAGTCTGACCTATTCTTTACGGATTAATTAGAATTTTACAAACATACAAAAACAATATAAACTGTATGGTGTGTTCAGATTTACGTAATATTGGACTAATACTGTACACTCAAAATTGAAATATTTAGACCTAACAAATAAGATTTGTGTCCTGACTGCATATACCTTTCACATAATTGAACAAATACACTTTATGTCATTGATATTTGTTAGTCAAACATAAATGAAACAAATAAGAACAAGATTTATGTAACAATTTCAATAAATTCAATGTGTTTTAATGGCTTCTTATTAATTCATCTCTTGTGTGGTGCTGCATTAATTTTGTCCTCGAATAATAAGTAAACTAATCTCATAGAATTTAACTAATTAAATCTGCCTTTAATTTAACTAATATATAATTATACCATACTCACATATTTTACCTGATTAAATCTAATAGAAAACCTGACAAATTAAATAAACTCAAAAGGTTACAAACAGTAATAATGATAAACCTCATATTGTCCTTCTTTCATGTGCAATACTTGATTTAAACTGATTATTGCTCATAATAATGAAGAATAAAATGCATTAAAGGGATTTAAACACAAATATGTTCAAGCTCAAACTGATGCACAATGTTTTACAATTGGTTTCTGAGTCCAACGACATGAAACTGTGACAAACCGAATATAATAGGTATATAAATAAAATATATGTATGAGCAGTACTAAATAAGATATTAGCCTAATATTTCACCTGTTTGACTGGAAATGATAAAAACAAACATGCATATTGTCAAGATTCTAGTATTGGAAATCCCCCAGTAAACAAGCTTTTGCAGGACCTGTGCTGGCTTTTTGCAGGTCAACCACAAACACCTTTTTTTCTTTTTTTTTTCTCTCTTCTGCTTGATATGTTAAAACTTTTGCTCTTTTTGTCTTTAATACTCAAATGTTTTGTCTGATCGTCTATTCCAGCCCAAAACATGACAATAATTCAACATTTTATTATCAATAACCAGCAAAATATGCGAGTTTTGTTTGGTTCAATGGCATTGTAAACATTCTGTGCTTCCAATATGTTGCATCATGAAAACACTCTGTGCACACTCTTGCAATCTTGGCCATCTGAGTGCATGTGCACACAACAGGAAGGAAATGTGCGAGACTTGCATGTTCAAAATATCACACCATACGATGATCAGTTTATGGACAAAACTGGCCAGAACTTCCTTAAAAATCATCAGCACCTTCTGTGTCCACTAAAAATGCTCAATTTTATCACTTAAACTGTGCATCTATCAATATTTTATACTTTGCTGAGATATATTGTCATATTTGTAAGGTTAAACAGCTCAGACAGTCACACAAAGAGTCAAATTTGATAAAAGATGTAAGAAGAGGTCTGTATACATTGTCTAAATCTATGGTATGCTGTAATAATATCTTGTCAGAGGTATATAATATTATCTTATAATAATATTTTGTCATGAACGTATATATATTTTTAAACAAATACCAATACTTGTTATATTAATATATAACATCATGAACGGGTAAAACAGGGTTTTATTTACAGTACATTATCCACTAAAATCAAATGTTTTTTTTAAATGAAAGTATGATCCTCTGATTCCTTAGGATTATACATTTTATTTTTGACATTAATAATGTGTGAAGTGTTGGAATTTCTGGCCAATTCCATGCATGTTCAAGAGAAAAGGTCAGGAGAGGTTTTTCTTCAATGTCAAAAATTATAACAATTTATTGGATACAAATGAATAATTCGATGACAGAGCTCTGGGTTACATTACCCCAATGCAATACAAGAATTACATCCAAGAGGTTCGCAACTAACATACATTTCCTGACTCCAGGACTCTCCTATATGACCCTTACATGACCAATACAAATAATTGTTTGATTAAAAGAAAAAGAGACAAAAATAATAAAAAATGATTCCTATTTTCCAAAATAAGTTTAAAAAAGAGTGTATGTATTGTAATGAAAAAGGACATTATAAGTAAAAGCACAAGGCTGTGTTTATGTTTGAATCTGTATGTTTTTATCATATGCATATATAGGCAATACATTTGGATTCAAATGTTCACTTATAAATAATATTTTATTTCTAATATTTATACAAAATATTTTAGTTATTAGATGAATAAATAAAGCTTAAAAGAGAAAATAATAAATACTCAATGGCTTCATCTAGTGGCTAATAGTGGAAGTGACGTCAAAACAACTAGCACACAAACCATATCAGGACCAGTTCTAGATAAGAGCTCAGAACAACTGAAAGGCCTTTATGAAATGTAACTGAGAAAGAAAAAAATGTGCAGGAATTTTATTTATTTATTTATCTATTTATTTATATTTTTTAAATAGGAAAAAGATTAAAAATAATTAAGTCTGACTCAGCATGATCAGGTCAGACTCAGCATGAATGCTGTTTTTCAGCAGGTTCTTGCTCTACAGAAGATAGAAACACACAGACACCATTACCATTTCACCAATCAGCACATGAGAACACTATAAACAATCACCAAACCTGCAAAGTTAAGAGAAACAGGCTACGATCTCAGTGGCTGTAGCAAAAGTTGACCATCAGATGACGAGCATGGGATTTTTTAAAAAGAAGTTGTGGGGTCTCATTCCAGCCTTTTGTAAATACATAAAAGAAAGACCTCGGTCCATAACAGTTTTTAAACAGACGGTAATGGCAAAAATCCATTTGTTACAGATCAATGATCGGCCCTCGTATTAAGTTTTGGTATCAAAGCACAAAGAACTGCTTAGGTGCTACTGTTTAATATTTGATAGTCTTATTTGGTCTCAGTGTTTATAATGTCATTTTGATCTACTGATTCATCCACCCAGTCTCATATTAAACTGATAAATAAAATAAAAAAACTGACCATGATCACTCTTGTTTCACTATCTAATTTTTAGACAAGCTAAAACAGGAAACCACAGCCTTGTTATTGTGTCAGTGCACTAGTTGTGACTTGAGCTTGTATAGAGTGCACAAATGGAATGGAAAGCTTTGCCAATAGTATCTGGATGCAGCCTTTATGAAGCAAGCTGAGAGTGCAATGCTCAGAGATGCAAAAAAAAGTCACAACAATTTATGAAACTGAGTTCACTCTTGCATTTTATAATTAAGCTGATGAGCAGCAGATGAGAGGGAACAAACCAGATAATAACCCCAAAAAAAAAAACACAAAGATTCAGAGCTCTTCCACAGAGATCCCTCCCACCACAATGAAGCAGATCCTTCACACTGCAGTTGAAGACCCTCACATTCACAGTCTCTGAGATGGAGCGAGTGAGATTTACAGTCATCATACTTCTGTGTAAGTCAATATTTCTGTTTGAATGTCATGATTTATTCTTGATGATGTGCTAGAGATTTAATACACACTCTTGTTTTTGTTCTGCAGGTGTTTGGTTGATGTCTTTAAATGTGTTTCTAATACAGCTGATGAAGAGACATGCAAACATCTACAGTGTAAATTAAAGTGTTATTTATTATAATAATAGTGTAAATTATAGTTTATCTCTTCATAATATAGCTGTGCTTTAATGAAAAGTCTACATGTTTACCTAAAGCTTTATAATTTTAATATTATTTGAATGAATTTTAAAGATAATTAATGATTATTATTTATTAATAATTAAAAGTCCTGCAAATAATTAAGCGACACAATCCTGCAGCCATAGTCCGACTTCAAATACAGAAATAATGTATATTTATAAAATATACTAGTAAAATAAGTCTGTTTATAATTAGTTTTTTAAAGTGTACCTTAGTTTCTAAAACTATTTTAAATTAATTTAACAGCAAATAAATTATATTTTTATAAAACAATGATTTGAAATGTATTTTATATTAGAATATCAGAATCTTTAACTTCTGATTTTCTAACGACTTTTAGCAAATTCATCAGTGTTAAACTCATATTTTTCAGTAAAGATAAAATAAAATGAATATAATAACTACATATATATTCACTTTAATAATGGCCTGTTGTTCATTTAGAGCAAGAGTCTCCTTGTGCTGAACGGTTTAACAGCACCTCCACATCACCTGCATCAGAGTGTGTTTTCTGCTGGAATCTGCTGTTCAGTGTGTGTTCGGTGTGTGTTCTCCTCTTCTCCATCTGCGTCTACTGCCTCTGTCAGAAGAAAACTACAGGTCATCAGCTATTCGTAAAAAATGTATATCTCAAATTATAAAATGTAAATTATTCTTATCTTTTGTTAAGTTTCTGTAGGTTCTGGGGCTGAGAACAGACATGTTGAGGTATGAGCACATTTTGAGAATAATTTTAATATATATTATTCGCAATAGTTTAGCAGCAACATAAATTACATCAATATAATGTAATATATTTATTTGTTTATTTATTTGTTTATTATTTTAATTAAATATATTCTGTTTCAGGCTGGTGAAGAAGTGTGTTATGCTTCATTAGACATGCCTTCCACACAGCAACAAAGGCAGAGGAATGAAAAAGGCTCAGAGTTCAGACTTCAGTATTTATTCTGATGTCAGAACCAGCAGAATGTAAAGTAGAGTAAACTAAAGTCATTGTTCTTTAGTAGAAATATGATTCAAAGGAGTGTTAATGACAATGTTCTGGCATCTGCATCCTATTTTCATTGATTCTAATATTGTAAGTTTTTAATGATTAAAAATGTAAATACATTTAAGAAAGGTTAAATGTTTTTTTCAGAATATTTGACTTGCAGTCTCAGAAAGGACTCAGTGTTGTTTCTGGGTCTCTCAGTTTAATATAATTTAAGCCAATCACATGAGTGCATATGCAGTAGTACTCCCAGCTAAAACTGAAGTTCTTAAACTCTTTTCATGCCACAAAACAAACATCTCCCTGCTACAACAACAGAAATGTAGAATGCAAATGTACATCTAACAGAGCTCTGAACATTCCTAATATTAAAAAAACAAAAAACTAGGTCTTAGATCATCAGATGTGTACACCATTTCAGAGGTTTTACTGCTACTGTGGGCAAATTACCACAACAACTCCACCAAAACTTATATATCATAGATCTATAAGATCATTTCATGGAATAACAACCAAAACAATATTTCATCACACCTTTAGCCTCAGTCAGTAGAGCTGCAATCTTCATTTTAAAACCATTATGAAAACCTCCATTAAGAGGACTTAAATGGATAGTTCACCCCAAAATAACAATTCTGTATCATTAACTCCCTTTCACTTGCTCCAAACCTGTTTGAGTTTCTTTATTCTGTTCAATACAAAAGAAGATATTTTGAAGAAAGCTGAAAAGCTGTACCCATTGACTTGTTTGTTTTTGCTACTATGAAAGTCAACGGTTACAGGTTTTCAGCTTCTTCAAAACATTTTATTTTGTGCAAAACAGAAAACAAGAAACTCTTAAAGATTTGAAACCGCTTGAGTTTGAGTAAACAGTGAGTAAATCTGGATTTCTGTGTGAACTCTCCCTTTATTTGAGCTCTCTCCAGTCACTCTAGGAAGACACTACACCTGGATTATTTGTCTAAATAATACGTTTATTATTAAAATCCCTATTAACATTAAATTCATCTGAAGCGGTGGCTTAGTGCAGGTAAAGGGGCCCCGGCCCTGGGTGAGTCGGCCATTAGTTAATGCCCACTCCTCATTCTGCAGGTGATCAGGAAGCAGTTCTCTGCACTTCCTGTGTGACTCCTGCTCACCCTACACAAATCATTAAGATCATTAATCCAGACTGACCCTAACAACACAATCAAAGCCATGAGTGCGTCACTCAGATAAGTGTCAAGTCACTGGCCACCTGTTCACTGTAACCAGGGATGGCGCTCAATATCGTCCAAACTGGGCCGATCAGCCGCCGCTGGACTGAGACACCAGCCAATCAGCTGACGGCACTCTGATACACACAACACCGTGTTCAGAAACACAGAGCAACACACTTCTGCTGATCTCTCAGTGAGTCTCTTACCTGTTGACAGAGTTATGGGGAAGGTCAGTTTGCTCCTGGACGTGACCCTCAGTGAGCCTCCGAAGGGGAAACGGTTGCACAGGATGTTGAAGAGGGTCACTCCTACTGACCACACCGTAGCTGGACCCGCATGGTAGCGCTGTCTGCAGAACCACTCAGGTGGAGCGTATTGAATAGTTCCTGAGAGACACAAGGAGACACAAACACCCGTTCAAAACACTCCAGCACACACAAATTCCCTTTGGTGGATCATCAAAAGCTCACAAACATCCACAGAGTGTTTCCTTCTGCAACACAAACCCACCTGCGAAGTATTTGTAGGCCGAGCGCTTGAGCAGATCTCCACAGCCGAAGTCCAGCAGCTTGATGTCCTGGGACTCTGTGGAGATCAGCAGGTTCTCTGGCTTGACGTCCCGGTGCAGGACTCCGCGGCTCTCGCAGTGTTTCAGAGCCGCGATCAGCTGCACCAGCACTTTCTTGGCCAGACCCTCATCCAGACAGCCGTTCTCCTCACAGAAGCTCTGGAGGTCTTGGCAGGGATCCGGACGCTCCAGGATCAGGATGTAGCGTCTGGGACGGTCAAACCAGTCTAGCAGCTGCAGGACGTTGGGGCAGGCAGGAGCTGAATTGACGCGGGTCATCAGTGCCACCTCCAGCGGCAGCCGACCCTGACCTTCCTGCAGGACAAACGATTGGATTCAGAACCCAATGAAACATCAAACACAACAACAGGTTCACACTGAACTCACAACTCTCAGTCTCCTCTGTGTCCGCTCTTTAGACACATACTTGATGGCGACCTGTAGACAGATAAAGCATAATAAATCACACCTGCCTGATCCTCACACATCACATTTACTGAGATCAGGATTTCTAAAGGCTGTTTGAATGAAGAGCGGAGAAAACGACTTACTGGCAGTCCATCAGACCTGCGCATCCCAGCAAACACAGAGCCAAATCCACCGTCTCCCAGCAGTGGGCCCTTTGCATACGCGTCTGCAACACAGAGGAGCAGTAGAAATGTGTGTTCAAAGAAAACATGCAGCAGTAGAGAAAACTGTAAAAGAGCATTACTGAAACATCATCATCACTTCTTCAATAAGCCATTCTGACCTCTGCGAGAGCGTTTGAGAGCTCTTCTAGATGAGGTGGACGGACGTTCATCTTCTGGTGTTTGCTGGCTGCCGCTCTGCCGCTTCCTCTTCCTGTTACCCTGATCTGTGGACACAGATTTGGCCAACAGGGAAGGCAGAGGTGCGAGAAATCCATCAAGCTCTTGGCTCACGGTCTGGGTTTCACCATCACCATCATGTGTCCTGACGTCCTGAACAGCTGCCTGGATGAAAGCAGAACTCCTGGATCTGGAGCGGCCTGAGACAACGACAACAACAACAACATATCACGTTTATCATAAGATTATAAGAATTAATCAACAATTAACTTTAGTAGCTGCATCTACAGAGAATAAAAGACATCTGATCACTTATATCGGGGAACAGTTGTGTTGAAATGGGTTCATTTGTACCAGTTTATTTACATCACATTTCCCCAAACATTACACAACATCATATCATGATTGATCATAAACAAATAAAAACTAAATCACTCACTGCGGTTTTCACCCATCTGACAAACTCCTCCAAACTCCAGCAAACCTGAAAACAAGAACAAAGATCAAATATCAATAAAAATGTCAATAAAAACAAGATCAAAATCAAAATAAACACAACAAAAGAGCAACAAAACGTGTCAAAAGGAATAATTTCAGCTCTGAGCGTCGATCTCCTTGTAAAATAAAAGTCTTCTGTCAGAAATTCTCTGGTCTCCTTGAAGAATCGCAGTATCAGCACAGTAATCCTCAGCAAATGTCTCAGAAATTCGCCTCTCCTCAATCAACAGATAGCGGCGAGTCTCGGTGTTTATATATGGAGTCAAATCATAACACGCGTTGCTATAGCAACCACAATTTGAATCGCCAATCTGAATCACGATGATTTGATGTGATTTGAGCTTCTGAACTTCTGTTAAGGGTGCAAAGTGTGCATTGAAGCGGCCTGATTTTATACACCAGTTTACAGTAGTAAAAATATATCAAAGTTAATTAAAGTAAACATATTAAAGGTAAACAGGTTTCTATTTTTTGAATGTAGTTAAAAATTATTTATAAAATGAATAATATGATTAATAATATGATTCATTTATTATATTGATATACATTTTTTATATTAAATTATCTCTGGGTCATAAAGGATTCTGCTTGCAGCCTACAGTACATCAGCTTTCAGGCTCAGTGCTGTGTTTCTTCTTCTTCTTCTTGGTCTTTACTGACGCTCCTGGTGCAGTGATGTTGCAGTTGCTGTGAAAAGCTAGGCGAGAACACAAACCACAAGTGTTTTTATTCAGGCATGCAACAGACTGAATGTCCTAAAACTGTTTGTGGTCAAGCTGGTGATCTTGCATGCTCAATACACACATCAATGCATGAGATAAACTGTGGTTAGACAAAAACAGAAATAAGAAAAGTAAGAAAATATTTAGTGCACGCTGCAGCTGTAAATGTTGCTTTTATTATTTTCATGACTTGGAATTGATGAGAAACTGAAGATGCAAAAGTCTGATTTATTAAAACACGTGCCATGAATCAGAGACAGTGTAAACAGCACACAACTGAGGTTTGATTTATTCAAAGAAGAGCAGAGCAATGCAACATATACGAGTGCAACATTCAACATTTAAACCAAATTGTAATAATCATTCAACAAAATTTCCTTTCATAAAGCAAATCCATCTGCTGTATTTCCTATTATCTTTTAATTTCTACATTAGACCTTCTTTAGTTGTTGAGAAATGACAGTATCCTGTTCACTGATCAGACACTTATAATGAATTTAATGTGAGAAGAGAGTTTAGTGTGGAGTAAATTCAGCACAATGGACAGCTCCCTGCAGTGCTGAACTGACTGAACCACATCTGCAGGAGGAAATGCTACAGAGATGTTTAATTACTGCTGAATAATTACTGAACAATGTTGAATATTGAAAATCTAACCCATCAGTAGTGATTACTAATTAAACATTTTTATATATGGAAAATCTGTGCTTTGTGTCAATGATCTAAGAGATCTTATCAGATCAGTGAAGTGTAAACGCTAATGTGAAGAGGATGAACTGTACAGGCTCTGAACGGGGCTTGTGGGTTTCCTGTTTTGACATGTTCAGATGCTGTTCCTTCATCGCTTCCAGTTTTGACCTATTAACAAAACAAACATAAAAACCCTCAATTACAGCAGCAACACATAGAAAAAGATCAATTATATTATTTCATTTCAGTTCAACAGACATATTTTAGTGATTATAATCAAACATTTCTGATGCGACTCTATCTGTGTTCATACAAGCTAAATCTGTCTCTGTTTACTGATGAAAGGTTTGAGCAGTATTTTTATTTCCTGTTGACTTCTTTTATTTCATGAGTTAATCAAGTGCCTGATCACAAAGACAAAGCCATTTTTAAGACAGCTGAGATTGGTCAACACTATATTTCACTGTTCATTGTACATCAAATAATAACCCAAATGGAAAGCCAAACCCTCCTGACGCAGGATGTTTTTAAGTAAAACTTTCCATTGACGTGAACCAATCATAAAGACCCTCAGCAGTGTCAGTAATTCACAATCACTCGATGGAGAGGCCACAACTTACTCTCATCGCACTCATGTGTAAGTATAATTATACTTGAACTGCTCTGAGATTCGATTCCCATGATCTAAACTTTACTAACATCAGTGTCTCTGATATGGGGCTGTACTACTGTGCAAATGTTAAAACTCTATCAATAAGGATGAAAGAGGCGTCATTTCTGGATCTGCAGTGTAGTAAAATGGAAACAGAACATCACGTCTCTCTTTTGCCGGTAAGAAATAACTTCTGCTAGTTGTTTTGTCTCTGATTATGTAGTTTCTGGAGCTTTCCAGGAAGCAAGACAAACAGAACAAACATATTTTAATGAACATTCATTGATTCATTTGTGTTTGTTTCATCTTGAGAAAGAGACGTCCTGTTCTGAGCTCTTGAACAGCACCTCCAGTCCTCCTGCTGTCTCAGAGTGTGTTTTCTGCTGGAATCTGCTGGTCAGTGTGTGTTCGCTGTGTGTTCTCCTCTTCTGCATCTGTGTCTACTGCCTCTGTCAGAAGAAAACTACAGGTAATCTTCACAAATTAATACACTTTGCTGCTGGTTTAATAGACAGTGAGGTAGTTTTGTCAGTGAGCTCTGTTTTGATTAACAAGGCATGCAGACCATTTCTTTTAAAAGGAATGAACTTAAAAACATTGTCTCTGCATAACCTCTAATGATGGAAATGTGCTAAATTATTAGCTCTACTATATATATAAGTGCTGCATACTTGCAGTGTTTTCTCTCAGTGCTCTAAATATAAGCTTTAGTTTCCTGTTTTGATGTTGTTTTTGCTGAATTAGTTCTTGATCATATAAAGAAAGCTAATGGAGATAACTGTATTGATAACTAGCTATATTAGCATTCATACAATATTCTTTCACTATACACATTTAAATGCTTAAAAGCTTTAAAGTATCAGAGGATTCATTAGATTGCAAGATGGCCGTCAGTGTTGTTAACTGTGTTGTTAATGTTTTATATGTGGTGCACAGAAAAAATGATTTTGGCAAAATTGTTGCAAACTTTTTATATGAGAGGCGACACGGTGGCGCAGTGCAAATCGCTGTTACCTCAAAGCAAGAAGGTTGCTGATTTGTGAATTGTGTAAGCTAAAATGTCCATAGTGTATGTGTGTGAATGCAAGAGTGCATGGGTGTTTCCCAATGCTTGGTTGCGGCTAGAAGGGCATCCACCGGGTAATAACATGTGCTGGTGAAGTTGGCGGTTCGTTCTGCTGTGACGACCCCTGTTTAATACAGGGACTAAGCTGAAAAGGAAAATAAATGAATGAATTTATATGAGCTGAATTTACAAACAAACAAATTAAATTTAGCAATGGTCAACTTCATATGTTTGTTTAAATTCAGCCTAAATAAATAGTTTGCAACCCCTTAATTTAAAATAATTGTTAATCCAATAAGTGGTGTTTTTAGTGTGTGGATGTGTAAATAATAATATTAATTGTGTGAACACAGCTTATTTAATACTACACATAATGTCAATAACACATCTGTCAATAAGATAAACAGAAGTTACATTTGCACACAAATTCAAACTCATCTTTTACATTTCCACAGTTTAATATACAGATCAACAGCCTGCAGTCTTACTTTGGGACATCTTTGTCTGAACACAACATAATAAAATACTTATGAAACAGATTTGATGAACTTTGATTGCTGCAACATCAAATAGACACGCAGCAATGTACAAAAACAGTCGAGGTATGAACAATACGAACACTCATGTCCATTATGGACACTTGCTCAGTTTTTTAAGAAATGTCTGTGTGGCAAGGGGGACAGGACCAAGAGCTGTAAGAACAAGGTGCCTGCTGTTAAAACATAACTTAACTGGGGTTTATCACAGCCGAGTTCAGTTTCTCTTGCCACATCCAGGCTAGATTACTGCCACACTTGTTTGCAATCAAGAAATCACTTTAATAGGAGCTTCTTGACAAAGAGAGGGAAACCAAAAGATACTCAAAAGCTAGACATCATGCCAAGATCCAAAAACAAATGTTAAAGAAATGAAATGACATCTATCCGTCTGGAAAAGGTTATAGATTTCGAAAGTTTTGGGACTGCAGTGAACCACAGTGAGAGTCAGTGTCTACATATAGCAAACATGGAACTGTAACGAACCTTCCCAGGAGTAGACGGCTGACCAAAATGACCCCAATAGAGAAGCGACAACTCATCCAAGATGTCTCAAAAGACCCCACAACAACATCAAAGAACTGTAGGCCTCTTCCCTCAGTTAAGGTGAATGTTCATGACTCCGGCATAAGAAAGAGACTGCAAAAATGTTTGCATTGCAGAGTTTGAAGACGAAAACCACTGCTGAGCAAAAAGAATATAAAGGTTTGTCTCAGTTTTCCCAGAAAACATCTTGATGATTCCCAAGACTTTTAGAAAAGTTCTCTGTGGACTGACAAGAAAAAAATTAACTTTTTGTAAGGTGTGTCCCATTATGTGTTACATAAAAATAGCAGCAAATTTCACAAAAAGAGCACCATACTAACAGGAAAATGTGGTGGTGATAGCGTGATGGTGTGGAGCTGTTTTGATGCTTTATGACCTGGAAGACTTGCTGTGATAAACAGAACCATGAATTCGGTTGTGTACTAAAATATCCTTAAAGAGATTGTCTGGCCATCTGTTAGTGATCTCAAGCTGAAGTGAACTTGAGTTCTGCTGCAGGACAATGAACTAAAGCACACCAGCAACTTCACATCTGATGTAGCCTAGTCAAAGTTCGGGCCTGAATCCAACTGAAATGTAGTGCATGTGCTTAAAAATGCAGTTTATGCTCGAAACCCTCCAATGTGGCTGAATTAAAACAGTTCTGCAAAGATAACAAACCGCTGTAACAAATTCATTGCAAGTTATCAAAAAATGCTTAGTTGGAGTTGCTGTTAAGGGTGGTCCAACCAGTTATTAGGTTTAGGGGGCAACCTGTGTCATTTTGCCTAGGTC